TTACCACATGGTATGGCATGGTAAAAATAAATTACAACACTATACCATATGCTATGGCAAGGTAAAATCAAATTACCACACTATACCATATGGTATGGCATGGTAAAATCAATTATCACACAGAACCCTCACATTTAACTTCCTAATTACCACATTTTACCACATGGTAATGTACTGTAAAATCAATTACCACACATGCCACATCCAAAATATCATATTTTACCACATGGTAAAATCAATTACCACACATTACCACATGGTAAAATCAAATTACCACACTATACCATATGGTAAAATCAATTATAAAACAGAACCTTCACATTCAACTTCCAAACTAGCACATTTTACCACCTGGTTTGACATGATAAAATCAAATTACCACATTATACCACATGGTATAACATTGTAAAATTAATCCAACAAAACCAAAAACCCATCCAAAAGAACAAAATAGCTTCAACACCTCAACCATCATCAACCATTCATTCAGATAATCCTCTAAGAAAACTATTACAGCTTCAGCCTTAAACTTTCTTCAACAGCCTTCAAATTCTCCTCCTCAAGCCTGCTAGTTTTTCTCTTCTTCTTGCTTACAGCCCTTGCAGCCTCCGCAGCTGGAATTGGTCGTTTCGAAGGCTTGAATGAATCTTTTTTAGGCTTAAACCCCTTCACTTTTTGGACCGGTACATCATCTATACCAAGATAACAAAAACAAACTACAATCAATGACAGATAATAAAAACAAAAACAAACTCTAAACAATTAAAAAAAACTTACTGTCACCGTTAGAAGACGTGCTTGTTCCAGCAGGTTCAGTAATTGATAGGGCTTCACACTTTTTGATCAAATCAGTCATGAAGGCCATGGCTGATTTATACAAATCATCATCCAATGCAACCCTGCTGATCATTGATGCAGAAACAGCTGACAGATTGAAAAGACGAGAACGGTATTTCGATGGACTATCAGTAGACGGAACTTCAAAAGAAAAGTTCCCTCCAGTTTTCGCTGCCCTTGTCCACCGCTTCAAAATCAAACTGCTAGGAATGTGCTGGAACTTCAGATTGCACGTTGTAGACCACAACATATCATATCCCTTAATTTGATGCTTACAGATCATACCACTTGACTCCCACTTACGGCAAGAACACTTGATTTCACCGTTTTCAAAATCAACCTTCAACACCCTACTATCCAACCTTGTAAGGTCATCCTCCAATATGAAGACATCAAACAGTCCTACATGTCCTTCTCGTTCTATCTCCGTATTGGAAAAAATATTATACGCAAGGGATTCCTTGTACTGATCCAGGAAAAACTTGAATATCTTCGGCGTATACACATTAGCAACTTGCTTCACAATAGGGCTAGTAGAAAACCGAGAATCAGCCAACCTAGATAAGGCATAGTACTCTTCTTGTTCTTCAGCATCCCTCTTATTATCAAGCATCCTCTCAAAGTGCACAAAGAACCTACTAACACTAAACTCTGACTGCAAGTAATGTCGAATATTACTATTGCAGCACTCACTTAGCTGGGTACTCTTCATTCCCGCACCAAAATGACAATTCACCCAGGCTGAAGACCACTTCGTCCTGACTTTGTAAATGCCATGTAACCAACTGTGTCCCAAAGGTCCCTTCCCAGGAAAACACTTCTCAATCATCTTCTTCCAATTATACTCAAAATCATCCTCATCATCAGCATTATACATCAAATAACTAAGCTCACGAAGGAAGTCAGAGTCACACAAACTTCCCAGATTAACAACTGCATTCTGAGCAATATGCCATGTACACAACCCATGAAAACAATATGGGAAAACAGACCTTATACCAGCAGCAATTGCAGCAGCCTGGTCAGTAAACATTGATAACGGTCTCACACCTCCCATGCATTTCAAAAACTGATCGAAAAGCCATTCAAATGTTGCTGTTGTTTCATCATAGAGAAGAGCAGCCGCAAAGACAGTCAGTTGGTGATGATTGTTGAAACCAACAAACAAAGCTACATAAACATAACAAAATTTGAGTAAAAACAATTCTACCAACACATACCATGTGGTAAAAGGTACGAATAACAATAATACCAACCCATACCATGTGGTAAAGACTTCTAAGAACAAAAAAAACACCACAAATAACCTTGTTACCAACACATACCATATGGTAAAAGACTTTTAAGCACAAAAACCACCTCAAATAACCTTGTTACCAACACATACCATATGGTAAAATACTTTTAAGAACAAAAACCACCTCAAATAACATTGTTACCAACACATACCATATGGTAAAAGACTTTTAAGCACAAAAACCACCTCAAATAACCTTATTACCAACACATACCATATGGTAAAAAACTTTTAAGAACAAAAACCACCTCAAATAACCTTGTTACCAACACATACCATATGGTAAAATACATTTAAGAACAAAAAAAAAAACATGATACAGAATGATAATAATAATACTCATACAAACTAACAAACACAATAATAAACAACAAACAAGAAAACATACCTAGTGGCCGATACTCTTTGTTAGTCCGGTAAGTAGTATCAAAACTAATTGAATCACCAAAATAATGATAATCCATCCTCATCTTCCCATCTGCCCAAAAAATACTAGCAATGTTCTCTTCAACATCAACCTCCACCTCATGAAAGAACCCAGGATCCAGCTGTGCTTGACGTCTAAAGTATTCAAGCAATGCAGTCGCATCACCATACTCCATTGATGACGTCCTAACCGTTCGCAGATGGTTCTTCAAATCATTCTTTGTGAACCCAACAAACTTCCGACCACCACCAGCCCTACTAATTGCATTATACGAAGAAGTCACACCAATACCAGCAGCATCATTCACCTCTGCCAGCATCTTATACACAGGAGCCATTCGTCTGCTGGATCTCACATAGTGACGCAGAGACTCAGGAATCATGTCATGGTTGTGCACATTATACCAACGATAGATCTTGTAACATTTAAACTCTTTAAACCACCTCAGTCGTATATAAGCACCATTACATCCACCCCTGAGTTCTGGAACATTACGAACACGAACCGTCGTATCAACAACACCTGCATTATCAGGGTTATTCTCGCTACCTCTTTTCCAACCTTCCTTATTGCAACAATACTTGATATAATATACAGCTGAAGAACCACCATTGAGCTTCGGACACGCTGATTGGTTATAAATCCTCACACCAAAACCTTCATGATTCCCATAATCAACATAAAAATTATATGCATCATCTGGTGTATTGAACTCTAAGTCCTTCCAAGAATCACGAACAGTAGGATCTATACCATTGAAACCTACAAACATTATGAAACAACATATTAAATGGATTCCACACCACAACAGTATGAAATATCAATGTATACCAATAATTACACCCATGATACAAGAGTTACCACCATAGTATGGCATGGTAAAATCAAATTACCACACTATATGGCATGGTAAAATCAAACTACAACACTATACCACATGGTATGCCATGGTAAAATCAATTATCACACAGAACCCTCACATTTAACTTCCTAATTACCACATTTTACCACATGGTAATGTACTGTAAAATCAATTACCACATGATAAGGCATGGTAAAATCAAATTACCACCCTATACCATATGGTATGGCATGGTAAAATCAAACTACCACACTATACCACATGGTATGGCATGGTAAAATCAAATTACCACACTATACCATATGGTATGGCATGGTAAAATCAACTATCACACAGAATCATCAAGTTTAACTTCCTAATTACCACATTTTACCACATGGTAATGTACTGTAAAATCAATTACCACATGATAAGGCATGGTAAAATCAAATTACCACACTATACCATATGGTATGGCATGGTAAAATCAATTATCACACAGAAACATCACATTTAACTTCCTAATTACCACATTTTACCACATGGTAATGTACTATAAAATCAATAACCACATGATAAGGCATAGTAAAATCAAATTACGACACTATACAAACTTCAATAAACAAAATTTTTTGCATATCTTACCTCCTGATTCACCAGAGTTAGCTGAATGATCAAATCCAAGATCAATAGATGAAGAAGCAGTTCCAACAGCACTAGATGAAGAACCAGATCCTACAACGCTGGTTGAAGAACCAGATCTATCAATTGGAACAACATCGCCACAATTTACGTTACTCATCTCACCAGAATACTGCCAAAACACCAAAACACAAAGAACATAACACATGAACAAGCTCGACTAGCAGCAATGAAAAACCTCCAACGAAACCAGAGATCAACAGAAAACTCGATTAGCTAAACAGAAAGAATAAAAAAAAACTAATATCTAACCTCGTCGTCGATCAATTATGGAGAATCAGAAAAGATTCGCCGTCCCCTGTTTCGCAGCCGCTGCTCGCAATTTCTCTCTACAAAAACCGAATCCAACTCGCGCACACGTCGATCAATTATGGAGAATCAGAAAGCTCGATTCGAAGCTGCTGCTCGCAGTTTCTATCGCCGTCGATCAACAATGGAGAATCGCCGTCCTTATTTCTCAGCTGCTGCTCCCCTTTCTCTCTCCAAAATCCGAATCCAACTCGCGCACAGAAAGATTTGCAACGGACAAAGAGGGAAAGTCATTTAATTCAAATATAAAATATCGGACAAAAATGCCCCTGACCGTGGACCAAAAACACCGCATCAATCACAGCCACAAGATCCGTCCCGCCAAGATCGACGGTCCCTATGTGGTTACTCACCCTATCCTAAGCCCTTCTATAGATATAGAGCATCGATTCACCAACTTCCTTTCATCATTCTTTTCTCTCTTTTTTTTTTTTTGATGGTTGCTTTTTTTTTTTTTTTTCATACGGCTTCGTTTCTCAGATTCTATTTAGAACCCTAATTATCCGAAGCTACTCCTCGTCTCCACCTTTTTCCAGCTTCTGGCGAGTCAGTCTTCCCGTTGGAGGAATCCGGCCGGCGTCGCGGTCATGGCTCCAGACGATGTCCTCAAGAAGCTGGAATACCTATCTCTGGTCTCCAAGGTCTGCACCGAGCTCGAGACCCATTTAGGTTTCGGCGACAAAGTCCTTGCGGAGTTCATCACCGAGTTGGGCCGCAACTGCGAGGCCGTCGACGAGTTCGATTCGAAGTTGAAGGAGAACGACGCCGGGATGCCCGATTACTTTGTGCGGACGCTCCTGACCATTATCCATGCGATTCTTCCGCCAACGCGCAAGTCGGAGAACCCCAAGGAGACCGCCGGTGGTGGTGGTGGTTATGATAGGCAAGAAGACGGCAGAGTTGAGATGGTCCCGAAGAGCACTGGCTCCAACTCCAACGAGCCTGAATTATACACTGTATATAAAGGCAGGGTTTCCAGAGAGTGGTGAGAGGCATCTGGCCCAGGAACTTAGGGGTGTTGGTTTGTCTGCTTACGACATGCCTGAATGGAAGAAGGATGCTTATGGGAAGGCATTGACATTTGGGCAGAGGTCTAAACTATCATTCCAGGATCAACGGCAAAGCTTGGTTCAGGCTGTACATGATAACCAAGTTTTGGTTGTTATTGGTGAGACGGGGTCTGGTAAGACCACACAGGTAACGCAATATCTCGCCGAGGCTGGTTATACCACACGAGGTAAGATCGGCTGTACTCAGCCCCGTAGAGTTGCTGAAGAGTTTGGATTCGTTGGTTATAACCCCAATCTCACAGGCATCTGCTAAGCAACGAGCTGGACGTGCTGGCCGTACTGGGCCTGGGAAATGTTACCGTCTTTACACCGAGAGTGCCTACCGGAATGAAATGTCCCCTACGTCCATTCCTGAAATCCAAAGAATTAATCTTGGGATGGTAACACTTACAATGAAGGCCATCGGAATCAATGATCTCTTATCTTTTGATTTTATGGATCCCCCAGCACCTCAAGCCCTTACAACTGCCATGGAGCAGCTATACAGTCTAGGGGCATTGGATGAGGAAGGTCTTCTTACGAAATTGGGGAGGAAAATGGCTGAATTCCCGCTGGACCCTCCGTTGTCCAAGATGTTGTTGGCTAGTGTTGACCTTGGCTGCAGTGATGAACCAGGCGGTGTATATCCATCCGAGCAGTGCCGTTTTCCAGAGACAGCCAGATTGGGTGATCTACCATGAACTGGTGATGACAACAAAAGAGTATATGCGTGAAGTCACTGTGGTGGATCCTAAGTGGCTGGTAGAACTCGCACCTAGGTTCTTCAAAGCTGCCGATCCAACCAAAATGAGCAAGCGCAAGCGCCAGGAACGTATAGAGCCTCTTTATGACAGATATCATGAACCTAACTCTTGGCGGCTGAGTAAACGTCGAGCGTAGTAGTAACAAGTATGTTTTTGTGATTTTATGAATTTAGTTTTGTAGAATGATTCGAGCCTTTGTGGATATGCCAAGACTGACTTTGTATATGCTTCTCCTTTGAATGTACTTTCTTTATTCAAAAAGATGTCTTAATAGAATGATTACATACAATATTCATCCTACTGCCGACCCTAAACCCTAAATAACTTGTTGCTACAGTTACTTGTTAGTTCTCGAGGTGCCTTAAGCAGCTTGCAGATTCTTGTTCAGAGTTGAGACAGTTTCCTCTGCAGTTTGTCACATGTGGCCGATGACATGGCGCCAACAAGGTGACAACAAGGCTGCACATGTGTCATGCATGGAAGACTAGTAGCATAGAGATGCTCCTAGGATTCTCCACCTTAATATAGAGCTTAATGGTGCACTTATTAGCTACATTATGGTAGTATTTATAAAGTGCATAATGGGGGGACTTAATGGGTGTATTGATGTAGTAGAGGGACATTATGAGGGGCATTGATGCCTTGTATGAGGAGAGGCCTATATAAGGAGCCATCTCCCTCACTTGTAACTCATTCCATCATTTTTTAGAGTAATACACACTAGAGAGTTCTCCCAATCCTTTGTCTTGTGTTCTTGTTCTTTGCTTTCAAGCGAGTTGAGAGAAAGGCTGCCTAGCGCTCTAACGGATTTGAGAGCTAGGGCCGCACGATCGAGAGTAAGGTCGTGACAAGTGGTATCAGAGCCTGGTTCGGCTTTGTGCTAGCAAAGTTGAACCTAGAGCCAGAAGGAAAGGAAGAACCTCACCAAAAATGTCGGGATCAGAAGTTCACGACGATGCTGAGAAGCCGCGTGGAAGAGAGCCCACACCGGGCCAGAGAGGAAAAGGTACGTCGAGCACTCGTGATCCTCTCAAGTCTCTAGAGAGGCGAGTCTCGAGGATGGAAGTGAAGATGGCGGAAGATATCACTACCATCGATGATTTGGGAGGTAACTTCGCCCAAGTCAAAAGCGATGTTCAAGGAATGGCGGGTAGGTTGACAACCTTGGAGATCAACCATGATGGGATGCGGGAAGAGCTTGTGGCCCTCATCAACAACACCATCACCGCCTCCATGAACAACGCCCTTGAAGTTGTGAAAGAGCAAGTCCAGGCTGAGCTGGTCGGCGTGAAGGAGGAGATTGCAGACCTCAAGAGTGAGGTCACTCTCGTGAAGAGAGCCATGGCTAGCGGACCAGCCCCGGTGCAATCCGTCCCACGTGCTGACGTTCCAAGACCGAAGAACTTCGGAGGTTCATGGAACGCGAGGGAGTTAGAGAACTTCCTTTGGAGTCTTGAGAAATACTTCAAGGCATCCGGCATCCAAGAGGATGAGGTAAAACTTCGTACCGCTCCACTATACTTGGTCGATGTTGCAATGGTGTGGTGGAGGCGACGTGAAGCGGACGTCGAAAGAGGTACTTGTGTGATGGTAACGTGGGAAGATTTCAAGAGAGAAATCAAGAGGCAGTTCTACCCGGAGAACGTGGAGTTTGAAGCCCGTTCGAAGTTGAGAAGACTCACCCAGAGGGGTGGAGTTCGAGAATATGTGAAAGAATTCTCGGAGCTGCTTCTAGAGATCCCGGACATCACGGACAAGGAGGCCATGCACGGCTTTCTTGATGGGCTGCAACCATGGGCCAAGATGGAGATGCAACGTCGAGGAGTGCAAGACCTTGCAACTGCCATGGCCACGGCGAAGTCTTTTGTTGAGTACAAAAGGCAAGAGAGCAGCGGCAAAGAGAAGAGTTCGAAGCCCAACAAGGGTGGAGAACAGCAGAAGCCTTTCAAGGAGGGCACTCGCGCTCAACAACACCAAGGTGGTTCAAGCAAAGGGGGTAAGTACGAGCCAAAACCCATGTCTTGCTTCCTTTGCGATGGACCACATCTAGTGCGGGACTGCCCAAGGAAGGCGAGATTGGGGGCCATGGAAGCTCAAGAGGAGGAGCCCAAGGCAGCGGAGGCCAAGATTGGCTCAATCCGCAAGCTTGGCGCGGTGAAGACCGACGTCAAGGAGAGCAAGCGTGGGAGGTGCTATGTTCTGGCGCAATTCATGCAAGGCGAGTCAAAAGCCTTGGTGGATACCGGTGCCACGGACAACTTCCTTCGCATCGAGGAGGCAAACCGGCTGGGTATTGCTTACGAGAAGGGGCAAGGGAGGCTCAAGACGATCAACTCGGAGTCCATCCCAATCCATGGAGTTGCTCACAACGTGCCAGTGAAGCTTGGCGAGTGGGAAGGTCTCATCGACTTTTCCGTCGTCACCATGGACGATCACCCAGTCATCCTCGGCATCAACTTCCTCGACAAGGAGGGAGTGCTCTTGAAGCCCAACTCCAACACGATGTGCTTGGAGAAGGAGGGGGAGTTTCACACGATCCATCTCTTGAGAGAAGATGGCCCCCATAGTGCTCTATCGGCCATGCAAGTATTGAAGGGGTTCAAGAAGAATGAACCAACCTTTCTGGTGTCCTTGAAAACGAAGAAAGAAGGAGGCTCAGTGGGAATCACAACTCCCCTCATCGAAGGTGTCCTCGAAGAGTTCGACGACGTGATGCCATTGGAGTTGCCCAAGAAGCTGCCACCAAGAAGAGAGGTGGACCACAAGATCGAGTTGGAGCCAGGAGCGAAGCCCCCTTCGCGAGCACCATACCGCATGTCGCCACCGGAGTTAGAAGAGTTGCGGAGGCAGCTCAAGGACTTGGTGGACGCAGGCTATATGCGGCCATCGAAGTCACCTTTTGGAGCACCGGTGCTGTTCCAAAAGAAGAAGGAAGGGTCGTTGCGCATGTGCATCGACTATCGAGCCATCAACAAGTTGACGGTGAAGAACAAGTGGCCGATTCCCAACATTGGCGATCTGTTCGACCAGCTTGGAGATGCTATGTGGTTCACCAAGCTAGATCTTCGCTCGGGCTACTATCAAGTGCGGATAGCAGAGGGCGACGAGCCAAAGACGGCTTGTGTGACGAGGTATGGCTCTTACGAGTTTCTTGTGATGCCATTCGGTCTCACCAACGCACCAGCCACGTTTTGCACTTTGATGAATCAAGTGTTCGAGCCATTCTTGGACCGGTTTGTCGTGGTCTACTTGGATGACATCGTCGTGTATAGCAAAACACTCGATGAGCATGCCGAGCATCTACGCCAAGTCTTCCAAGTCCTTCGCGACAACGAGTTGTACGTCAAGAGGGAGAAGTGCACATTTTCCGCCACGGAGGTTCCATTCTTGGGGCACATCATTGGTGGAGGCAAGTTGAAGATGGATGGAGCGAAGGTGCAGGCAATCCAAGAATGGGAGCCGCCGACGAAGGTGCCATAGTTGCGGTCATTCCTCGGCCTTGCCAACTACTATCGGAGGTTTATCAAGGGCTACTCCAACATTGCAGCACCCTTGACGGATCTCTTGAAGAAGAACAAGGCGTGGGATTGGTCGTTAAGGTGCCAAGAAGCATTCGAGGCCTTGAAGCAAGCAGTGGTGAAGGAGCCCGTGCTCGTGCTCCCCAACCCAACGTTGGCCTACGAAGTGCAGACCGATGCGTCCGACTTCGCGATTGGAGGAGTGTTGATGCAAGATGGGCATCCCATTGCCTTCGAGAGTCGGAAGCTTAGCGAGACGGAGAGGCGATACACCGTTCAAGAGAAGGAGATGACGGCCGTGGTACATTGCTTGCGCACATGGAGGCACTACTTGTTGGGGTCAAAGTTCGTAGTGAAGACGGACAATATGGCAACGAGCTACTTTCTTACGCAGAAGAAGCTCACCCCCAAGCAAGCAAGGTGGCAAGACTTTTTGGCCGAGTTCGACTTCGTCATGGAGTACAACCCAGGCAAGGCGAATTCCGTTGCCGATGCTCTTAGCCGCAAGAGTGCAGCCGCAAGCATCAGCCAGCCCATGTTTCCCTTGAAGGAGCGGATCGTTGAAGGCCTTGGCCATGACCCCTTCGCCAAAACCGTAGCGGAGTACATCGAGCAAGGCAAGACTCGACGGTTTTGGATGAAGGATGGGCTCATCATGACCAAGGGAGAGCGCGTGTTCATGCCAAGGTGGGCCAACTTGAGGAAGGAGAATCGGAGATCATGAAGGAGTGCCATGATTCCAAGTGGGCGGGCCATCCCGACATCGAGAGAACGCAAGCGCTCATCGAAGAAGCATACTTCTGGCCGCGTATGAGAGATGACGTGGAGATGTATGTGAAGACTTGTCTTGTGTGCCAACAAGACAAGATGGAGCAGAGAAGCCCGGCAGGCTTGCTAGAGCCCTTGCCCACACCTCAACGACCATGGGAGAGTGTAAGCATGGACTTCATCATCGGACTTCCCAAAGTCGATGGATGCGGTTGCATCATGGTTGTGGTGGACAGGTTCTCGAAGTATGGAGTGTTCGTTCCCGGCCCAAAAGATATGACGGCAGAGGATGCGGCGCGACTATTCTTCAAGAACGTGGTCAAGTATTGGGGCGTTCCTAGCAACATCGTGAGCGACAGAGATGGGCGCTTCACGGGCAGATTTTGGCGAGAGTTGTTCAAAATCATGGGCTCAGATTTGAACTTCTCGACGACATTTCATCCTCGAAGCGACGGACAGACGGAGCGGGTGAATGCCTTGTTGGAAGTGTACTTGCGACACTACGTGAGTGCAAACCAACGAGATTGGGTGAAGTTGATGGATACGGCACAATTCTCCTACAACTTGCACCGCAGCGAGTCGACCAACACGAGTCCATTTGAGTTGGCGATGGGGCAGCAACCTTTGAAACCTACGACGGTGGCAACGGGTTATAGAGGCAACAGTCCGGCGGCCTACAAGTTTGCTAAAGGCTGGCACGAGAAGATGGAGATGGCCAAGTCTTACTTAGCCCGCGCTAGTAAGAAGATGAAGAAATGGGCGGACAAGAAGAGGCGGCACTTGGAATTCGAAGAGGGAGACATGGTGATGATCAAGTTCTACCCTCATCGCTTCAAGCATCTCAAGAACG